CCTATTCCTCACTGTTTCCGTGTAGCAGTGGAAAAGACAGAAAGAAGCTTTTAACTATTTATAACTTGAAAGAAGGAGACAAGAGAGACATCTGTAAGAAATATGAGGAATGGGATGGAATCTTGGTGAGAAAAGCAGAATTAAATGTCTTAAAATCCATTCTCAAATCCAGAGATACACATCTAGTTTTTGTCTTGATTTAACCGTTGACATGCCTGGATTCTGATTATTGTGGTATCTTTTGGGAATGGTTTCAAAATGAAAGCAAAAAAAAAAAAAAAAAGTCAGAAAAGAAAAGAAATTTTATTCTAAGAATTTGAAATAGAGTGTTTTTAATCAGAATGGGACTCCACTTCCTCTCTTTACATTATCTTGTGTTTTGAGTACAGGCAAGTACATCTTTATCTTTTTTTATGTCTTTGTTTCCTCATCTGCAAAATTGGGGATAATAACAACTAGCGTTGTTGGTAATAGGAGCCAATAAACTTGCAAAAAGTTGTCATTAAAGGCTTGAAAAAATATTAAGTCCTGTATAAACAGTAGTAATGAGATATTGTCATTAATCAGCATGATTAGTAATAAATAATAGTGTCTCCAATTATAAACACTAATTGTCTGAAGATGGTGTTTAGTACTAGAAACTGGTATAGATTCTTAAAATGTGAATCATCAATTAATTATGTGCATCCCAGCACACTTTTATCTTAATGTGCTTTTTTTTTGTTTGTTTGTTAAAGAAATTCTAAAACTAAGTTGGCTAAATTTTTTTGTATGGTTAAATTTACATCATTTTGGAAAAGTTACACAATTACTTCCACAGATGACTTTTTCAATAATAATTCTATAATACTTTTTTTAATCTAACTTCTTTTTGGACTACACTTTTTTCCTAGGTACAGTTGACCCTCCATATCCATGTATTTTGTATCCACAGGTTAAACTGTGAATGAAAAGTATTAAAAAAAAACCTGTACTACACATGTTCAGGCTTTTGTCATATCATTATTTTCCTCAAAATACAGTATAATAACTATTTATATAGTAGTTACATTGTTTCAGGTATTATAGGCAATCCAGAGATGATTTAAAGCATAAGGGAGGGTGTGTGTATGACATTTTCATAAGGAACTTGAGCATCAATGGATTTTGTTATTTGCTGTGTCTTGGAACAAACCTCTATGGATACCAAGGGCTGTAGAATGTAAGAGTAAGAGTAAAATCTGAATTTTTTGATTCCTGGGTTATATTTACAATCATTCTTTCAGAATATACAGGCCCAAATATGTTATTTTATCTTAATTCCTGTTATGTTGACTACATTTTAAAATCCTGATTAAATAAATATAATAGTTTGTATAGTTTTAATGTATCTTAACATTTATCAATATTAATTTACTTATTAGAATTATTTGATTTTAAAAAAGTAAGTTGTCATGAAAATATTGTATTTAAGGGATAGTTCTATGTCTTTATTTTTACTTTTGGTCTTTTAGTTCCAGCGTGTTGTCCTTTTTGGTTTTGTTTTATTGCTTTTTTCTTTAATTTTGCTTACCAGAGCCAAAGCCTTAGTAGAAGAACAACGCCTTTTGTTCCTAGGGTTCAGGTAAAGGCCTTGTCTGCCTGACAGAAATTAAATTGTGTTTTATCCCTTATTTGTATGTTTTTGGAAAATGCGTAGTAGGAAAACTTGTTTTGGTATGTTGCTCCAAGTCATATTATTGACTTTCAAATCATTTGATGAGCCAGCTTGTAAAAGTTCTGCATGGGGATTAGAATTCTGAATAAAAATTTAAAGAGACAATCTCTGTTAGTGATTTTATATGATAAAATAAAACTTTTAGGTTTCAAAGTGGCATTTAATATAGATATATTTTATATTTCAGTTAAATATGTAACATTATAGAAATAACAGTTTTATACTGTTGATATTTTTCTTTGGTACACTAAGATTGCTGTCTCTTTAAATCATTCATTATATTACTTAACATCTAAATTCTCTTGCATTTTCCAAGCAATTACTCCTTGGAGAGATTGGCAAATACATTTGTACCTTATTTAAAATGTGAATTTTATGCATACTGTATACAAGGTTCAACTTTTGGAAAGAACATTACTTTGAAAGAACAAAATCCAAATCCAACTGAAATGTGTTTGGCTTATTTTGTTTATATTATATCACTCCATTTAATTTATTGTAATATTTGGGTACAAGTTGTTTGCCTATTTTCTCTAGGAAACCTTTATATGGTAAAATAATGTCAATATAGTATTTTTAAAAGTAGTATTATGCCTTCCTTGCTTTGCTGCATGTTTTTAAGAATTTGCTGATTTTCAATAATAGTTACTTTGTTTAAATTTTAGAGATCAAAATTATTTTAGTTAATATTACAGTATAAAATATTTATGTACTGTTTAGCTTCTACTTAGAAAAATTAAAAACTGTTACATGGTAAAGCTGGGATGATAATCAAATTAAACAATTAGAAGGATACCAAGATTTTATTAAAGAAATTAATTGAGCATGAAAATTTTCAGAACTAGAATTGTGAAAATATATTTGTTATATTTGGGGAAATCAAGAGCTATGTTTTAATCATTTTTTAAAGAGTTCAAATCAGAAATTTAAGAATATGATACAAGTAGCTAACTAGTGAAATATTTGAACTGGGTGTCTATTAAAAACTTAAATTTTTAGTTTAAGTCCTACAATATAAATGAAAATTAGGGCTATCAAACATCCAGTGTAAGACAGTGTATAAAAAGGTGCAATTTTGATTAAATAATAAGTAGAATTAAAATTTACTTGTTTCCTATCTAAATTATTTTAATAGAATATACTTGGAAAGTACAATTTAAATAACTATAAAAGACCATTATGAAAATTTGAATGCCATATCCTAATATTGGTTTGTATGAGAATTGAATGATATTAGTGATTTTTTGGTTTTCCATGGCATGAGGAAATATGAAAAGAGTACTCTTTATGAGATTTATGAAGTATATCTCAACTGTTTAATGATTTTTGAGCAAAATTATTGCCTCTGAAGATGGTAACAAGTGCTTAGTCTCAAGCCTTTGAAAAATTTTCACAATAATCAATAATTTGTTCACATAATTTTGAGCTCAGTCTCATAATGATAAATATTGTCTATGTTTTTTAATTTTAAAGTTTATTGGAAAATTTTTTATTTTACCGTTTCAAAATCCTTTTTTCTTTGAGGTGTCTATATTCATGTTATGATCCTTTGAGAAGGATTTTTTTAATATCTTGAAAGAATAAAGCCATAAACTCTTTTAATAGTAGTGAAAAATAAAGAACATAATAATTATTAATGTGATCTTAGTCACACATTTTAGAGGAACTGTGACACTATCTACATCTCTTTCATTTCATATACAGTGAAGCATTTCTGCATTTATTTTTTTATTTGTTTTCTTCTCATGGCATTTGCCAAAAGAATATTTAACTCTTCACTCTACCCATACTTATGTATCTGTATTTTTATATTGTTAGACATGCAGATGTTTGAACTTTTTCTCTTTCACTGGAGACTTTTTCCTTCAGGTTGTTGATTCCTTTGCATAAGGCAGTGGTTCTCAAATTTTAGTTATTTTAAGGTTCACTAGGAGGACTAATTAAAATGTAAATTCCAAGGCCCCATTCTGATTGAGTAGCTGAAGGTGGGCACAGAAATTTATAACTTTTAAATAAATAAGTCAGATAATACTACTGTAGGAGTTTGTTAGCCAGACTTTGAGAAACATTTTTTAGGGTCTGAGTTTTGAACTTAGAAACTCTTAAAAAAATTGCTGTACAATAGGAAGATAATACCTATATTAATCATAAAGACTTAATAGAATATAAAAACTAGTAATTAATTTTTAAAATTTGGATATTTCTTACTCTTATTCCTATAAGAGGACTAATTCTTTTTAGGAAAATAAAAGGGTTAGATATTTTCTCTACTCTTTTGGGCTGTCAGTCTATCTCTGCTAAAAGTTGCTTAGTCTCTTGTTATGTAGAATATGAAGTGAGGCACTCAGGAAAGCCATGGTGGAATTGGAACTGAACTACCAGTGTTCCAGATATGATCAGAATTTATTTTTACCTGTAATTCTCAAGTTTCAAATTTTTGGTTCCTTTTCAGTTTCAAGATATTGGTCAGAGATGTACTGAATTCTGAACCAAGATGTGGATCAGAGCCATGGTTATCATAGATCCTGATATAATAGAATCAGCTATTTAGGTGTGAAGGTCTGAAGTATGTGTGTGGGAGATGATACCTGTTACGTGAAATGAATTCAGCACTGGATTTGAAGTTCCAATCCCTAATTATGGCACAGTGATATTATTCACATTTTCTTATCACATGTTATAAAATGAAATCTTATTATTCTAAGGATGTGATGCATTTGCTTCACTAAAGAAAAAGGAACTTTATGTATGAAAAAGTAAAAAAAAAATTAAAAAATTATTAAAGCTTTAAATGTGAACTGGAGGAATCAATTGACCAAAGCTACTATTAAATCCTCTTTGCTCAATCTTTGAAATGTCTTGCTGTGGAATAACATGAAACATTTACTTGAAAATACCCCATGAATATCACATAAATAAGTTACTATCTTCTCAATTCGTTTTGAGGATTTATTCTAAACTTATTATAGGGGAAACAAAATGAACTATAATGATTCTTGCTTAGAAAACAGAGCATTGATCATATTGCTCTTTAATTATGATAGTATAATTATTATGTGAATATTAATAAAGAATTAGGATAATAAACAGTCCGAGTGATTTATCAATTAAAACAAAATATATGAACAAATTCTTTTATTCATTGATGTTATTATGATATATTCTTTTATTTTATAGTTTACTTAAATGAAATTTATATTTTGTGTTAATGTTAGTGTAAGACAATGGTGTGAATATATTAGAAATGTAAACATGTATTGGCAGTACATGTTTGAGCTGATAAATGAATATTTTTGCTTTTCAGATAAAACTATGGTTTGACAAGGTTGGTCACCAATTAATAGTTACAATTCTGGGAGCAAAGGATCTCCCCTCCCGGGAAGATGGGCGACCAAGGAATCCTTATGTTAAAATTTACTTTCTTCCAGACAGAAGGTAGGGATATGAAATAAAATAGATATTCTCGGAAATAAGTGGGAAAATATTAATAACAAATGAGTGTTTGAATTCTATATTATTTATGTTTTTGTATTATACCAGTCAGATACTTTTGAAATCTAACATAAACATAATCACTCTTAGTTATCAGAATAATACCAATTAAGTATTTGAGATTGTTCTTAAATGTGGATTAAATTTGCATTATATATTATTAAATATTTATTTTAAGCATGTGTGAATTGTTTTTGAATAACATGTATTTATTTATCAAAATCATTAAAATTTATAACCCTTAAAGTCAAATTTTTATCCAAACTCTAGAGACAAAAGTTGGAAATTATCCTAAAAATATTCATATTTGTCTACAATTTATACCTCCTATTACATGATATTGTTTCACTCTATTCCACAAAATTAACAAGTGCATTTCATTACCCCATATTAACAAGGAAACCCACTAGACTCAGTTTCAGTTTCTTCAAGTATTTATTTGTTTTGATTTTAGTCAACATAAATGATATTGTCTGCTTCCATTTAAATAGAGGTTTAGAATTGGAGGAATATCAAAATAATCTAATCTTTTAAATTTTAGGCATGTAAAAATGAAAGGGTCTCTGCAGTTGGGATCATTAACACAAGGAGAATGTAATGATACCAATTACCCTTTCCTCAGCTATTGCCTCCCCTGGTTTCCAAGGCAGAGTGCTCTCAAGAGCAGGTCATTTTTCTCAGGTTAGAGGGGCTGCACACAAATGTGATCCTAAACATGTTCATACCTTTTCAGATTCTAATTTTCTTCTTAGTTCAAATAGAAAGTTCATTAGGGTTCATTTGTATGTCAAAGTATCATCTGAACAACAATCTCAGCAAAGAAAAGGACAAAAGAAATAAATGATTAATAAAGCCCTTACAGTTTATTTGATATATATTTTGAAGTGAGAATTGTAAAACAAATTCCTCATAACATATCAAGGTGCCACAACATCTGGTTATTAGAAACTATTTGCCATATAATTTTACTTTATAAAGTTAACTTGAAGAAAATTGTTCTCTAACCAATTAGATTGTCTTTTGGAGAGAGATATATGTTGAACTGTAAGAGAGAAAAGGACATTCGTAATTAGAGCCTAGACTTCATAGCTTCATATAAGTCTAGACTTCAGGTGAATGCCAGATGTCACAGCCAGATTAGCCTATCATCCTGGTAGTGAAGTCACATGACTTCTTACAGTAGTAGGATTTGTTACCCTAAGCATTATTGATATGCCATGATAAAAATGTACAGGAAATGCTACATTATCATGTTTTTATACACACACATGACTTTCGTTTCTACTAATTCAAATCTTTAAAGAGAAACATTTTTTTAAAGATGCCAAACTTCTATCAAATTATTGAATTTCTTTTTTGATTTGACTTTTTTTTAATTTTTATTTTTTACTTATTACACAACCTCTCTTCCTGCTTTCTGAGCAGATAGAAGTTAAAATGGTGAGGTAGCCCTTCTTACCCAGTCCCTTATATTCTAAATATAGCATTGTTTTCTCTTTTTTTTTTAATTTCAAGGAATTAAAAAAAATTTGTTGTTGTTGATAGACCTTTATTTATTTGTTTGTTTTTTATTTATATGCGGTGCTGAGAATCGAACCCAGTGCCTCACACATATCAGGCAAGTGCTACTGCTGAGCCCCAGTCCCAGTTCTAATATCAAGGAATTTGAGAGACATTTGAATTTTTTTTTTTTGAGATTATATCTCATCTGAATTCTTTGTTAGTTTATCAGGTCTTTCATAATTGTTACAGTTCGGTAAATTTTGTAGCTGTCTTTGTTGAATGCATTGTGTTAGAGTTTTATTTCTAAAGAAGAATTCTCTGCTTAACTTAGAAACATTATTGTTGACAGTTAACTTATCCTGTCAACTTTTTTTTGCTGTTGACACAATTTATAAACACTAAATATAAATAAAGGAATATCTGTGCTTTGGTTATAATTTTCACTTTTCCTGGCAATATTTTAGGGAGAAATGCTTGAACAGATGAACATAGAAAACAATTCATGCTTTTTTTTTCTTGGTAAGATTTTGTGGAGGAGCAAATGAAGCTACACAAAGAAATCTACTCTGAAATCTCAGTTGAGCTATTAGAAAATTACTACAGTGCATAACTTACTAGTGCTATTAAAAAAATAACTGGAAATACTATGCACTCTTTCTAATATCTTGAAGTAAATTTGGTTACCAATGTATATTTCTTTCTTTCTAAAACCGCATAAAAAACATGCTATTATTAAGGCAAATGGAATGCGAAAGTGCTGATTGCATAAAGATAAATAAAAAAAGCTTTAGGCTCTATTTTATTTTTACAAAATTTTAACTATAGGCTTAACATCTTTAAAAATCTGTAACTGCTGTCTTGAACATCTTCATAGATTCTAACTGATTTTGGTTTTTAAGTAGTTTTAGCACTTTTTCAGTGCTTGACTTTATAGCATGATATGATTCTGGAGGCTTTGATTATAAATCTAAAAGAAAGTAAAACTCATTGTTTTTAACTTGCTGAAAATAAAGTTATTTTTTCATGGTTCTTTTTATGAATTGGTGCTTGGGCATACACTAAATAGCTCTATTGAATTGTAATAATAGAGGTTAGGTTTGTAAGGAAATTTAGAAATTATATTTTTCCCTTTCTACCCATTAAAGAAGTCCCTTATAAAATGGTCATTCTTTGAGAGCTCTTTTCAGTTCTTTAAAAGAAAGTTCTTGGCTTATTCTCCCCTCCTTTCAGATTTTAGTGTAAACCATTTAAATTAGATAGTCAGCTCGTATTAAATATTTCCTTCCTGGTCTTCTTGGTAGGAACTATGTCTTTTGACAAGGTCTCAAAATTCATTCTTTCATGGATGGAATTTATGTGGATGCTAAATGAACATTTGTTAACAATTTAAACAAAGGAAGGGGGGAGAAAGAGCATACATCATTGTCTTTGTTATTACAAGTTGAGTATCCCTTATCCAAATGCTTGGGATCAGGAGTGTTTCAGATATCAGAATTTTTCAAATTTTTTGAATATTTGCATATATATAAGAGTCATCTTGGGAATATGACCGAAGTCTAAATACAAAATTTCATTTAAATTTCCTATAAGCTTTGTACACATAGCCTGAAGGTCATTCTGTACAATATTTACAATAATTTTGGTGTGGAATTGTCCACTCGTGGCATCATGTCAAAATTCAAAATAGAATGGATTTTGGAGCATTTCATATATTATATTTTTGTATTAGTGATGCTTAACATGCATTCCTTTTATTTAGTTATTCTTACATACTATATATACTTATGTATATGTATATATAGTATGACTTCTTTTTCATGTATAGCAATAAAATCTAGGTGGGTTTGCAAATTTAGTTTCATACAGTGCTTTCAAAATTTGTAAAGATACATTGTATATTATCTTTTCTGTGTATGTGTGTGTGTGTGTATTAACAAATTCATTATCAGTGTACCTAAAGGCAGCTTTCTCTCATGTTACATATAATGCTCTGGAAATACATAATTTTATTATGCAAGTCAAATCTATATTAAAATTTAATATTCCTAAAAGAAGTTGTGTAACTTCTTTTTTTTCAGAGATGTTTAGCCTTTCTTTGTTCTTTGTCCTGTTTATTTCCTAGCTATATTACTCAGCTTTCTGTGCTGTGACAAAATATCTGAGATAAACAACTTAAAAGGAGGAAAGATATGTTTTGGTTATGGTTTCAGCATATGGTCACTTGGTCCTGTCACTTTGGGCCTGTGGTAAGAGAGAACATCATGACAGGGAGTGCCTCTTTGAGCAGAGTTGCTTACCTCATGGTAGCTAGGAAGGAGCAGGGTGGAGGACCAGCAGCCAGAATCCCCAAATCCCATTCAAGGTCATTCCCTCAATGAGCTCAAGTCTTCCACCTAAGCCCTGCCTCCCACAATTTCCACCACCGATAGGCCATCAACAAGGTACCAAGCTTTTAACATTGTGCTTTTGGGGGACATTTAAGATCTAAACCATAACAACAGCATTCTTAGAACAGTGCTGTGCTGAGAGAATTTGAAGCGTTAATATTATTCTAATTGGAGTTCATTTTTTTTGTCCACTTCTCATTTTAAATAGGCTCCCCTAGTTTAAAGTTTACTTCCTAGATGATTTTCTCTATTTCTATCCAGTTTTTGATCCTCCTTAATAAATAGAATAGTGATCTCCAAAGAGGATGGAGATATAACATAGGGTGTGTGTGTGTGTGTGTGTATACACACACACAGTACCATGATATAATATGGTACAGCATGTGTATATTTTTAAATATACATGCAAATAGTGACATGCTGTTTAAAACATGATAAAAATATGCCATCAAAATAAGTATGAAACTGTTTTGATTTGTAAGTCCCATCTGTCCAGATGATCCTCTTGCATTTCCAGCCCACATATTGTGGCTAGTTTACATAGAAACAATTTTCAATATTGTAGAAGACATGATATGTTGAACAAGCAAATGGTATTTCTTGTATATAAGGAAGTAACTTTATAAAATGCATATAAATTGCTTATTAACTGAACTATCTGGATATGATATGTACATTGCAATTTACTCTTATTTTTATACAATTATATGTCAGCAGTTTAAATGAATACTATGTATAATTTTACTGGTCAATTACCATTTTGAAGGTTTCCAATAGAGCAATAAGTTAAAAAAATTTAGAGTTAAGATTATCCATTATTTACATTATTTTTATTTATTTATCTTATTTACATTTTGAGAGATTATATTTTCAATTGTTGGGCTTTGGAAAAAATTGAATTCCTGATATTATTGTCATACTTTTAAGTATGGCATAATTATACATCTTATAAATTTTAACAATGTTTTAAAGATAATAATATTTGCAGTATGACAAATTTGTGATAGAATTTCACTTCTCCCCTGAGAAATTTTAAATTAGTAAATCTTAGGGCAAACAGAGTTTTATATAAGTTTATATATTCTTTTCTTTCATAGTGATAAAAACAAGAGAAGAACAAAAACGGTTAAAAAAACATTGGAACCCAAATGGAACCAGACATTCATTTATTCTCCAGTTCATCGAAGAGAATTTCGAGAACGAATGCTGGAAATTACCCTTTGGGATCAAGCTCGAGTTAGAGAGGAAGAAAGTGAATTTTTAGGAGAGGTACCTGAAATTATTTAAAGTTCACATTATTTATGTTATTCTAAATACTTTCTTTAATGACTATGAGTAAATTTTTATATTTCAAACATGAATAAGTAAGCATAATTTTTTAATTTAATAGAATGAATTTTGCTACTTACTACTTTAAAATAAAATGATAGCATAGAAAACAATGGCTCTAAATTATTTTTTATTAAAGCTTAGCATGCTGGTGATGGTGCACAACTATACTCCCAGCTACTAGGGAAGCTAAGGCAGGAGGATCAACTTGTGCATAGGAATTCAAGGCTAATCAGAGCAACATACTGACTCCCCATTTCAAAAATAAATACGTACATAAATAAATAAATATTATGTGATAGTTTTTACTGCTTATTCTTACTACAGAAATCTCAGTTGAATGATAGAATGTGTCTATTTCACAAAATGCTTTGCTTTATAATATCATGTATATCTTATTATTGAACCAACTGTACCACTAGTAAGTAGTTCAATCATTTATTCATGGATTAGTTTTTAATGTAGAAGACACTGTGTTAAGGTCTGAGATTTCAAAGATGAATAAGGCATGTTACTTCATATTAGGGAATTTCCAATGCACTGGGGATTCAGACAAGTGAATGACAATTATAATATAGCGCACCAACTGCTGTATGAGGGAAACTACAAAAGGAATACATAATTCAGTAGTGTGACACTTCAGAAGTGTCAAAGGAAGGTTCCATGAGAACTGGAATGTGTCAAAATCAAGAGAAGTGAAATTCCTGCAAGGGAATAACAAGACATCAAGGCTGAGGGAATTTGGGGCAACCACATTGAGATTGGAAGGAAAAGTGGTTAGAAATGAGACTTGTGTGTTAAACTAAAACCAGATCATGTCATTTAATATAATATATTAAATTTTGATTTATCCTGGGATAATGGGAACCAATGATAACTTTCAAAAAAAGCCTGGCTCAATTGTATTTGTACTTGAAAAAATATGTTTAATTGTAAGGTGATAAATATATTAGAGAGGAGCATCATAAGAAGCAGTTCTCCAGCTATTAGCATGCTAAGTTATCTACTTTCCAGCCTTTTCCAGTGTTTGGTTTTTCTGAGTAAATTAATTGGTAATCTCATGGGAAAAACAATAGTCAACAGAAATATAGAAATGAATGTTGTTAGCTAAGAAACCAAAGTAAACCAATTGGGGAAGAAGGGTAATACAGTTCTGAGCGGAAATTCTGAAGCGAGCTGCCTAAGTCTATATACTTGGCACTGCCACTTCCTGGCCTTGCATCCTTGAGCAAGTTATTTAACCTAGCTGTGCTTCAATTTTCTCTTTAGCCAAGTGGAAATAATACTGCAAACTGGGCAAACTAAGGTTTATATGAGGATTAAATAAATAAGTTGTTTGTGTCTCTGCGTGTAAACATTTGGAACATACTGCATGCAATTCTAAAAATAATTAGGGAAAGTTTGGACAGCATGAAATAATAACTTGCTCATTTTGCTCTTTATTCCTGTAGCTGAATAATACAGCAATTTATTTTTATGTTGCAGGTCTTACTAACACAAGTGCAAACACTCAAAATTATGTAACACTCTAAAAGAGTAATTTATATCTACATTCTGATTTCTTTTGCAATTTAAAAAACATTCATATTATAATATGTTTTACATTAAAAGCTCCTTGCTTTTTTTTCCTTTTCTGTTTTTTTTTCAATTGACAGGTGATAATTGTACTTTTTTTTATGAGGTATAGTGTAATGTTTAGTGTTAGTTTAATCCTTAGCGTGATGGTACAGTGTACACAGAGTTTTGAGTAAGACAGATGAATGCATTTTGCCTTTTTCACTTATGGGCTGGTGTGATCTTAGACAAGTTCTTTTAATCTTTCTTAGGTCTTGGTATTCTGGTCTGTAAGATCAAATTGTAGATTTTTTTCTGAAAATTAAGATATATAAAATAAAGCATGGTTCTTAATACACAGGTGCTTGAAATTTATTTTTCTCTCATTTATGAATTCTAGTGAGGTTATACTAGTGACGATAAAAAAAGAAAGCTTTTTAAATTAGAAAATAATGTGTGCATACGTTATTATTGCAGACATTTTAAAAGTAAAATGTATTATTTATGTCGTGGCAAATTTAATAGCCTCTAACATTTGGGTAGTCAAGGGTCTATGAAATAAATATTTTAGATATTTAAAACTATTAAATCACTAAGAAGTTAGAAAGAATTATCTTAGTTATTATCAAAATATATTGATAATTTTGAAACATCTATATTACCTTGTTATTTACTTACTTACTTTCATTATAATTATACATAGTAGCTGAGTTCATCATGACAAAATCATACATGCATGGTATGACCCACTCCATTGTAGTTACTGTTCCTGCCACCCTCTCCTTCCTACCTTCTCTCTACTGATCCTCCATTTTTTCCAACCTTGATTGGTGCTATTCACACTACTATAGGTGAAATTCCCTGTGGCATATTTTGTGTGCACATAACTTAATTTTGTCAAATTTATTCTGCCTTACCTTTCCTTTTTTTGTCCCTCTTCTCTCTTTCTTGATTTCCACTGATCTTCCCTCTATCTTTATGATATCTGATCCCTGCTTCTTTATTTTGTTTTAGTTTCACATATGAGAGAACATTTGACCCTTTATGTTCTCAGCCTGGATTATTCCACTTAGCATGATATTCTCCATTTCCATCTATTTATTGGAAAATACCATATGAATGATTTTGTTTTTGATTTAACAGTATTACTATTATAATTATTATAGAAGTTAAAAGACCACTTAGGAGAATTTCCTTACTATTGGCATATTATAACAGTCCTTTGTCTCTTGGATTTTTAGATTTTAATTGAATTAGAAACAGCATTATTAGATGATGAACCACATTGGTACAAACTTCAGACCCATGATGTCTCTTCATTGCCACTTCCCCACCCTTCTCCCTATATGCCACGAAGACAACTCCATGGAGAGAGCCCAACACGGAGGTTGCAAAGTAAGTTTTTAGCAAAATGTGTACTTTCATTGACTTTTTCTAATCTTGAGCATATTTCTGACTGAATTTAAAGTTCTAGTTATGGGTATTAAGAAGTATCTGTTAGTGTTTTCATAGCTACTATTAAAGCTTTTCAATTATTTGAGACACTAACATAAGGTTATACCTATAGCTTTTACTCATCACAGTATTTAAGGGCTTAATCATTCTATTTTGGATGCTGTGTCCCTAAATAAGCATAGTTATGTTTAAATCCTTATTCTTAGAATCTTAAATATAGAAATGATATAGCTAATAAAGTAGAGTTTGTTTGTGTAGCTGTAGATACTCAAATTAATGATTTTCACTTTCATTGTTCCAAGTATTTTATGCCTGTCTTTGGTAGCAGGTATAGCATACTGTTTGAAATTATGAACTTTAATTTCAGGCTGAATTTAAATTTTGATTCTTAAACTTTTGAGTTGAATAACTTGAGGCAGATGATCTCTCTATGCCTCAGCTTCCTCATTTATAAATGGAAATAATAATACCTACCTTACCAGGTGGTTAGAAGAATGAATTAATTTCAAGAACATAAACTGATTATTGTCATTGTTCTTGTTATGATTATTAGTGTTTAGATTTTACCTTGGATTATATATAGTCTGACTAACATATATCAGTCCAGAGAAGTTTAACATAACCTCAGAAAATTTTTCTATATTGAAAAGTGACATTGTTGGCTCTTTGCACTCACAATAATAGATTCTAATGAATCTATTATTGAAGATAAGGTAGATAATTGCTGATTGGGATAGTATTCATGGAGTAGTTTACTTTTCACGGAATCTGATTTAGCAACATTTTTTTGTCCAATACTGAAAGACCAATTGACATTAACTAAAATTCAGAAATGTCCATTTATTAGCACAAATGCTGTGTCATTTATTAATTATGGCAAGGTACCTGGCACCATAACAATTAACTGTTGTGTATAATGGATTAAACCTTCCTGGTGAATGGAGGGGCTAAATTATGTGTATAATGATAAGTATAGAATTAAGAGCAGAAGATTGGTCTTATGGAATATTTAGTTAGTCACAGCAACACCTAAAGAAATATTTTGCTCCTTTAAAAATAATCTGTTGATTGGAGTTTTATTTTTACTAAATGTAATCTCATACACTTGAATGGTATTAATTGAATAATGGCGCTGCCCTACTCACTTTCAGCCTCCCCATACAGTAAATACCATTGACCCATATTTGTAGGTTCCCTTACAACACCGTTGGTTGGAATAATTATAAAAATGTAACAGATTTTGTGAAACTAATTTTATTTTTCTGGCCACAATCATCTTTTCAATTCATTCTTTCTAAATCACCCTGTAGGATAATGGGTTGTAACATAACAAATATAAGCTATTATGTACTAGTTCTTATAGTTTTAGTTTCTAGGCTACTCATGCTAGCCATCACTATCCTTTCTTATAGCACTGGCCTTTTTTTTCACCTACTCCACTTAAGATAGCAATAATTAGTAGGTTTGAGGACTGTCAATACCTGAAACTCTTAAAAAAGAGTATTAATTTTTTTTCTCCCAAGTCATTTGGGAATAGTGGATGTAAGAAACAATGAGATATTTTCTAGGTTACTGTATGTGTCATGGATTTTCCTGCAATTAATTTAATTAGTCTTGCAGCTTTTAATATTTTCCCATTACTAAAATGACTTTTTAAATTATTTATTGATCAATAGTACTAAATTTGCTCCTGGGCAACATAATGGCTCCATGCATTGCATTATATTGTCACTTACTACAGCTAACATCTGACAATTTATAAGCAATGTATAGGCCTAAGGAGATTTAAAAACATGTTCATAAACATAAAAGGAATAATGAATAGGAAATAACATTTAAGAATTGAAAAAATGTTAAAAACTTTATCATTGGCTAAATATATGTTGATCATAAGTGGCAAGTACAAGTAAGGATATGGATAAATAAATTTTTTAAAAATTTACTCTAATTTATTATACATGATGGCAAAATGCAATTCATTTCATATTACACATATAGAGCACGATTTTTCAAGACACTGGTTGTACACAAAATATTTTCACACCATTTGTGTCTTTTACATGTAGTTAGGGTAATGATGTCCATCTCACTCTACCATCTACCATCTCACTCTACCCCATAACCCTCCTGCCCCTTTTCCCTATCTAAAGTTCCTCCATTACTCTCATGCTCCACCCTCCATTCTCATTATGAATTAGCATCAATATATCAAAGAAAACATTTGGCAATTTGTTTTTTTGGGATTAGCTTTTTTGGGTAATAATGTCTAACTCATTCCACCATCATTCCTACTCCCTTGCCCTGTTCTTTCCCCTCTCTCCCCTTTGCCCTTTCTAAAGTTTAAATATCTTAATTTTAAAACCTCTTTGATGACATGAACCTCCTTTAGGGTTTTTTCCCCCCATGGAGAGAGTAAATATTGCATTTATCTATGAGTATGTTACATGTTGGCAAAGATCATGATCATGAACATACTTGATTCAACATGTATGAAAAGTTACAATCCAAAAAAAAGAGGGTGTTACAATCCTTCATATATTCCCTACATTTACATTATAGTGTGTTTTGTAATCCAACCTACAATACTATGAATATCATTATGAGTTCATTTAATGTACATAAATATATATTGGAATTTAAAATGAAGAAATGGTAATGTTGAAATTACTTTCTTTTCACTCTCATTTCTATTTTAAATTACTTTCTTTTCACTCTCATTTCTATTTTAAATTTATAGATTCAAGTGATTTAAAGCAGTATATCATTTACATGAATATTAGTAATTTATAATTCTTATTAATATATAAGGAAATAATAAAAATCATTCTAAAAGTAATTGTTTTATGTATCTTATAGATAAAGTAAATATTTTTAGAATTTGAGATGAAGACTCCAGGAAACTTTTATAAACATTGAATGATCTTCCATATTAAAAGATTGGTACACTTAGCTAGCTTCATATTATATCAGTATTCCTGCATATAACAAAATAAGAATACTATTTCATGTATTCAAGTATCTATAGAAATGGTCACAGAGTCATTTCTACAGAGTCTGAAAGAAATTAGTCATTGCTAAAGAATTGTTGGAGCAGTGCATATTTCAGATAGTGATTGATTAAGCATTTTTGAAAATTTCTACTCAAGACTCGGAGTTCAGATAATTAACTTGCATTAATAGATATGTGGAGCTGCTTTTCGAGATGGTCAAATATCTCAAATATTAACATAACTTTTCTTTTTATTCATTAGTCTGAAACTTCATTACCTTCTTACATAGATTATTTTGGAATATTATTTTGATGTTTAAATTTTTCTTGTTATATATTATTTACTGTTATTCAGATAAAATTGTACTGTCTTGAGGAAAAAGTTTTTTAACATGACAGAAGTTATTTACAAATTTATTTTTTAAAGTTATTAACCATTTTCATCACAATGAACATATATTCCATCTTTTAATTTCATTCTTCATTCTTTGTCTATCAGCCAAATTCATCTGCCTTCTCAAATGTGAATTCTTTACTCAGAATACACTGTTATCACAACTTTGATTGTTAAGGTAGAGAGCATCATTTTTATTATATTTTTATATCCACTAGTTTTTAGAAAAAAAATGAATGGAAAGAAACCATTGTATCATTATGATAAATCCAAAATGATGCTGTTAAGAGGTAGAAGATAAAAGAGACATGATTTTATAATTATGATTTTTCATTTTGTCTGATAGAGGACTTTTAAGCCATTATTTCTTATAATTTTCTACCTCATTCTCATGTCTCTTTCTGGGACTTCAGTTAAATGTACAAAGGCCTCTTGACATCGTTCTATATGTTATTGAGCCTTTGCTTATTTTTTAATCTCCCTCCTCTTATTCCTCAATTGTTCACTGATATCTTTGTGTCCATGCATTTGTGAAATCCAATTATGAATTATCTTATTAAATACTCTTTTTTGTTTTTAAAAAGTTTTGGTGATAGGGAAGGCCTCATGCATACTAAACATGAACTTTCCCATTAAGCTACTCCCTAGGCCCCAAAGAGACTTCATTTTTAAGATATTTATTTTGTTTTTTCAAGTTTTAATATCCTTCCTGAAATTTCACTTCTTTCACTATGTGTATAAATAGATATATAGATACAGATATTTTTATAAACCTATATGTATGTGAGTTACATAAACATGCATGGGTTTATATATGTAAATGTGTATGTATTTATGATATATAAAATGCTATAAATTAATGTATTTGTAATACACATTTTTAAATTTTTGTTTCCTAATTCTAACATCTTAGTATTCTGAGGATGTACTTATATTTGTTTTCCTTTTTCATTAAAAATTTTTTTTATTGTAGGCTGGATATCGTGTTAAATATATTTTAGAGGCTCTGGTTAGTGAAGAATGTTCCATTTAATTTCAGCAGACAGAAAAATTACTTAAAAATCACCTGAGTCCTGTGGAAGACACATTTGGAAAAATCTGTTTGTGTGTCTTTCTGTAGTTCTAAAGCATAGATGTTAGTCTATTTTGTGGATCTTATCACTAAGGTATGGACTTTCTAATAATAGTTCAATGTGTTTTCTAAACGCCTATATTATAGTGAGAATTTAACTGCAAACTCTGCATCAGCATGTTGCTGAAATCTTGTAGCTCTTATTCTCCTTCTATATTTGTTTTTGTTTTTCCCTCTGCAGATCACAATTTAGACAAGGCTTGGAGGATTCTTTTTGTTCTAATTTGGGTCTTTAAAATTTGGGAGCCTCTTAGGTCCTTCCCTTCCTGGATTTACATCTCAATGCCAGCAGTTCTGAATTCTTATTTCTGTTTCCTAAGCCTTATATAAGACTGAGGCTTTTTGCTTGACCCATATATCTTCTCCACTGAACCAAAAAAGGGAATATCCTCAGGAAAAAGCTAGTTTTTTTTTTTTTTTTAATT